ACCGCAAAAAAAAAAAAAAAAAAAAAAGAAGAACAGTTTGTGTCCGAGAACCAGACCACGGAAAACTCAAGTTTTAACCTCAGCGATTAGGAGCTGCACCGTGTGGTAAACAATTCTCGTCCCCGAACCACCAGAACGCCCGGCACGACAATTACACCAGCGCCAGCTGTGAACCCCTGCAGGCCACCAACTTGAACTCCCAGCCCCTGCGATGACACCGCACGACACAACCCTCTCACTCTGATTGGGGTGCAGGGAGCTTGGGGTGAAAGGAGGTGGAAGATGAACAGGGCCTGGGAGGTAAGGTTAAAACAGAAAAGGCCCAGAAACAAAGGACAGCAGCACAAACGTGACACGGACACGGGCGCCGGGTACTGGAGCAATTACGCCCTTTGATCCTCACGGCCAGCCCCAAGGAAGGCCGCGAGCCCTTCTGACATGCGTCTGCTGGTGGCCACACAGCGGCACGTGGGCTAGGACCTCCTGACCCCGCAGGCCACGTTCCCCCATGGAGCCCAGAAGCAGCCCCTCTGAGCCTCACTCTGCACACACAAGACCGAGGCAGGAGCCACCCGGGGGCCAGGCTGACCGTCTACCCTCGATGGCAGGCGTGGAGGGCATGGCCTGAGGACGAGGCACAAACCTCTCTTCACATGAAACTCGAGTCACAGTTTTTCCACCAGGGAAAGCTGCACAGAGACTTCGTAACTCTTCCAGCCTCCAGAAGAGCAGGAAGTGGTGCAGGGGAGTTGGGGGACGGTGTGTGGACGCTCCCCCAAGACGAGAGCCTCGAGGCTGGAGCACGGGTCTGAGGACAGAGCAGACCGGCGGGCAACAGGCACACAGGGCGGCCAGACCACCAAGTTCCTCGACGCCAGGGGCTCAGCTTGAGAAACACAAATCCTCATGGGCAGCCACAGGCCAACAGGCCCTGTCCTGGAAGCACAGCCTCAGGAAAACCTCACGTCCAGGCTGATCTTTCACCTCCACGTACAATTTATCTCTGGACCCAAATGCAACTCTGAGCATTACCACCGTATTTCTTCTTGACTAAGGGCCGCTCTCGGGACTGCCCTGTTGGTGCAGTAGTTAAGAATCTGCTTGCCAATGCAGGGGACACGGGTTCGAGCCCTGGTCCGGGAAGATCCCATATGCCACAGAGCAGCTAAGCCCGTGTGCCACAGCTACTGAGCCTGCGCTCTAGAGCCCGTGAGCCACAACTACTGAGCCCACGTGGTACAACTACTGAAGCCCGTGTGCCTACAGCCCGTGCTCCGCAACAAGAGAAGCCACCGCAATGAGAAGTCCGCGCAACCGCAATGAAGAGCAGCCCCCGCTCGCCGCAACCAGAGAAAAACCGCGCGCAGCAACGAAGACCCAACACAGCCAAAAATTAATTGATTAAATAAGTAATTTTTTAAAAAAAGAGTCTCTCTCAATGGCTAATTACTTACCTTTTTTTGACACCAGCAAGAGGTTATCTCTGCAAACCCTGTATGGTCAAGCCCCAACGCAGGCCTCAGCACAGGGGACCCGTGTGTGTGCTCGGGTGGCGCAGGGTGCTCCTGTGGATGGCAGGATGTCCAGCGACATCCCTGGTCTCCACCCTGGGTCGCAGGGGGCGCCTGCCCCCTCCCAGCAGGAACCCCTGCTCTGGGACAATCCCACAGGAGTGCGAGGGTCACTGGAAAGACTTGTCTAAAATGCTGCAACGCTAGGAACAGTAGTTGTATCACCTGTTTATTCTTCCAATGAGCAGCAACACGAGGCAACACGAGGACGTTTTTATTTTTTATTTATTTATTTTTTAACACGGGGAAATTTTAAAATTACATAATAGTCACTTGATGTGTAACAAATGAGGCTTCCCAGTACCCGTGAAATTTTTCTTTTATATAAATGCCGTTAGGAACAGATTCCTGGAATCTGTTTACTGCTCACTACAGCTACAGATGTAAAGAAAAGATTGAGAGGTATTCCTTATTTTTCTCACTCAGGATATACTAAATGTGTGATCGTCATTTTATTCAAATTCCTCTACGAACTTAACAAGACATCCAATTCTGTTTATATAATTCGAGAAAGAATTCAGGACTAGCATTACCCTGAAAATGCAGACATATCAGGAAAAGTGTATAATTTTAACACATCATTTTTTCCCCTTAAAACACACAGAAGCTTTAAAAACAGATCAAAATTAAGCCCTGAATTTTAAATGTAAATCCGCATCACCTGTTCTCTTGCAGAACTTCACAAAAGAAAAATCTGCCCGAAGAAAGGAGGCTTCGAGAATTTTCGCTGCACAAAAAAAGAACTACAGAAATGAAACAGAGGCAGATGGGCTACAACCAGAAACAAAGAAACTGGTCACATCCTGAACAGAGGAGGGAAAAGAAAGCCCCAGACTAAACAGGCGCACACAACTTGACTAAGCCTTTTTCACATAAATAAAGCCCAAGCTCAGGACTCATTTTAAGGCCGTGAATCAGATCTTATAACTAGGGCTCCACTGACAGGCAGTCCCAAGCACAAACCTATTTTCCATAAACACCAAGGACGCGCCACCCGCCCCAGGCGGAAACGCTTGGCTTAGCTGGTGCCTCCGTGAACAGCAGCTCCCACAAGCCAGTGACTCCAGCATGATGGGCATGAGGAGGGAGGGGAGACAGCTTGGGAATTCCCGCTGGGCAATTCTGGCCCTATCTGAGCACAAAAATGAGTGGCGGAAAGAATGGGTTATATACACTGTACAAAAAAGAATCCCCCAGGTCCACTCTGAAACTGACACTGTACACACACGCTGCGCAGTCTTCTCCATGGGAGGATTCCACCTACCGCAGTAGAAAAGACAAGACTACGAAGCCTTTATTTTATAATCATCATAGTAATAACTGATTCAGGCAAAAAAAAAAAATGGGGGTTAAAAAAATACTGGGTCATTCACAATAGTTAAAAGGTGGAAACAGCCCAAATCTCCATTAATGGATCAATGGATACACAAAATACGGTGTATCCACACAACGGAGTACTACCCAGCCATAAAAAAAAAAAACCAGAGTACTAACTCATGCTACAACGTGGATGAACCTTCAAAACATGCTAAGTGAGAAAAGTCAGACGCCAAAAGTCACATACTGTGTGATTCCGTTTATATGAAATGTCGAGAATAGGCAAATCCAGAGAGAGAACAGAGATCAGAGGTTGCCGGGGGCTGGAGGGAGCGTGGATAGCAGGTGACACGGTTTGAAGCTTAACAGAGGCAGCTGGTGATTGTACAACGCTGGGAACTCACTGGTAGTTTAAAGTGGTTAATTTTTGTGTGAATTTCACCTCAATAAAGAAAAAAAATACATCAAAGTATTCACGTGTGTGTATACATATGCAGGTATGTATGTATACTGGGGTGTTGGATATTTTCCAAGTATCACCCCAGAGACTGCTTCTGTTAATTAAACGGGAAAAGGTTATGTTGTGCAACAGAGAACTCCGGCCAACACGGCCTTAACCAAACTTAACATCCTCAAAAGGAAAAATTTATGAATCCAGATAAATGTACAGCTGACCCTTGAACAACACAAGCTTGAACTGCACGGGTCCACTTATGTGTGGATTTTCAATAAATATACAAAAAATATGTGTGTAGAACATTATATGCAAGACTTGTAGTGAAGTGGACAGCCTATCCTCACATAGGCATAAGGTAAGGGATGTTTAATGTAAAATAAAGTATTCATTTCTTACTGTTTTAAAACTTTGCTTTCA